GCATCCTGCAGGACTTGCGTTGCAAGAAGATGATTGGGATGGGCCAGCAACGTGATGGGTTATATTATCTCCGGCTTTTTGACGATGTTCGGGAGGCTGCCGTCCATGCTGCCACGGGTGAAAGTTCCTCGTCAGCTCTGTTGTGGCATGCTTGCCTCGGTCACCCGTCCATGTCAAAGTTGTCTTCGTTTCCTTTTATTTCGGCTGATGAACAGTCATCTGTGGGTCATTGTTCTTCTTGTTTACGGGCAAAACAGACGCGTAGTCCTTTCCCGTCTAGTTCTATTAAGACTTCTCGTCCTTTTGAGTTGGTCCATGTTGATATTTGGGGTGGTTATAAAGAACCCTCGTTGAGCGGTGCTCATTATTTTCTTACTCTGGTTGATGATTTTTCTCGTGCTGTATGGGTTTACCTTCTTCGTTACAAATCAGAGGTGGCTGGTTATTTGATGATGTTCTGTCAACAGGCTAAACGTCAGTATCGTTCCTCTGTTGTTCGTATCCAGGCAGATAATGGTATGGAGTTCAAACAAATGTTCTTAAAGAGTACTACGAGCGTGAAGGGATTGTGCTACAAACCTCATGCACAGACACCCCTCAACAGAATGGGGTTGTCGAGCGTAAACATCGGCATTTATTGGAGATGGCTCGGTCTCTTCGCTTTCATGCGAATTTGCCGATCACTTTTTGGGGTGAATGTGTACTTACAGTGGCCTACCTCATTAATCGTCTCCCATCTCCGGTCATTGGGAATATCACCCCGTTTGAGCGTCTTTTTGACAAAAAGCCTACGTACCATCACCTGCGCACATTTGGTTGTCTCGTGTATGCTAACGACACTCGCTCCTCCCTTGATAAGTTTGCAGCCAGGGGGAGAGAGTGTGTATTTCTTGGTTATCCGACTGCTCAGAAAGGTTACCGTGTTTTCGATCTGGATACTCATTCTTTGTTTACATCCCGCGACGTGGTGTTTTGCGAGGATAAATTTCTGTTCCAAACTGCAGCTTCTCTTCCTTCTACTGTGCCCTCGGATATTGGCCCTCGTCCCGCTGTTGACAACAGCCCACATGATCCGGTAGAAGAAGCGTTGTTCCTTGACAAGGGTACCGAGAATGAAGAGGTTGCACCATCTCCTGATTCACCGCCTTCTCCTTCAGCAGACAAGACCTCTAGTCCTGCTACGAGGTCTTCTTCCACAATTGATGGCACATCATCTCCACTCGTGGGTGCCACCCCTTCGCCATAGTCATCTCCCGCCCCCGTTGTTGAGTTACGTCGAGGTGATCGACAGCTGACTCGACTCTACTGTCACCCTAGGAATTAGCCAAGTGAAACCACTTCCTAAAGCGTAGTATAGCGGGTTAGGTTTATATGTCAACCCGGGTCCTAGATCTGATGACTACTCAGTGAATTCTTGTTATCTAGCAATGAAACTGGAATGCAAGCCTAAACTATCAAACTAACAAAGCAAGTAAACTGTTGTATTCAGGTTAAAGAGGTCACCCGGATATGGTTCCCCCTAGACTGCAGTTAAGCCGGATTGTAATTACCAAGTTCAGTTTCTATGACAGTTATACTGCGGAAGGTTCTTAAACAGCCTGAAGTCTCGACTAAAGGTCTTCAGACCCTCTCAATCTGACTCTCTAGCGGGCGACTAACCTCCACCGGAGTAGACAGATTGAGGCCCTAAGAACAAAACCTCCACTACCGGAGTAAATCCGGTACAGATTAGTGAGTTGGCTCCTCGACTAAAGTCACCAACTCCCTACCTTCAATCAAGGATACTCTATTAACCTAGGCAGATATTCTCATTCTAGGTTAAAGCAGAAACAACAGGAATTTGATCAGGATTCAAGTCATTCAATCATTAAAACCTCAATCGAATATAATCAATCATAGAATCAGTACTTGGGTTCATACAATCAAAGCCTAACATACAAATCTAGGGTTCTCCATACCCAGATGAATGGGAGAACTACTCCATGGAGAAGAAAGCAAAAGCAGAATCAGACACGGAATTCATACTGTGAAGGATGGATTCCTGCTCCTGGACGTTGATCGGCACTTCTCCAAGCTCAAACTGGCCTCCAATGGTGTTGAAGATCAATCTAGGGCGCTTGGAAACTCTTGCTCGTCACTTTCTCTCTCTAGAAATCGTTCTATCTCTCAAAAACTCGAATCCCCCTGAATTGTGGCTGAAAATCTGCTTAAAAGCATCACTGGCCAAAGCACGGTCGAGGGCACGGCCGTGTAATGCCTCAGCCCGCCCGTGCTTTGGCTAGTGTTAATTACACTAGGAGAAACACGGCCGTGCTTCGCGTTGGACACGGCCGTGTAATGATTGAACACGCCCGTGCTTTGTCTCGGCCATGCCCGTGTAATCAGCTCAGCTCTCGGCATAAAAAGCACAGCCACCAGAACACGGCCGTGTAATGATTTAGGTGTGCCCGTGTTTTGGCTCCAGCTCACCGAAATGACTTCCGAATGCCCCGAAACTCGCGCTTAGCCTTCCCAATGACACCTGGGACCTGAAACATGACAAAATAGCACAACCCGGCGTAAAATAGGCCAAAACACACGACTATGCCCCTCAAACGGATAAGAACTAGGGGCGCAAATATGTGCAATTACATCGTTATCAACAGCGCAAGGTTCCGCGCTACCTTGACATTTATGAAGTGAGTTTACCTTCCGCCAATTCTTGCGTGTAATACCCATTGCATGATGTTCTCAGTTATGATCGTTTGTCCCCAAGCTATCGTGCTTTTGCAGCAGCTCTTACTCATTTTGTAGAGCCGCGTACTTTCTCTGAAGCAGTTATTCATGAGTGCTGGCGTCTGGCCATGAAGCAGGAGTTTGATGCTCTTGTAGCTAATGGCACGTGGGAATTACAAGAGTTGCCTCCTGGTAAGAAGCTGGTTGGTTCGAAATGGGTGTTTAAAATAAAATACAGGCCAGATGGCAGCATTGAGCGGTTCAAAGCACGTCTGGTAGCACAAGGCTACACGCAAAAGGAAGGCGTTGATTTCCATGAAACTTTTGCGCCTGTAACCAAGTTGGTTACGGTTCGTTGTGTTCTTGCCCTAGCGGCATAGCGGGGTTGGTTTCTCCACCAGTTGGACGTAAATAACGCTTTCCTTCACGGTGATCTCAATGAAGAAGTGTACATGCGTGTTCCAGATGGTTTTGCTCGACCGGGGGACACACGAGTATGTCGTCTTCGCAAGTCACTATACGGGTTGCGCAAGGCGTCACGAAACTGGTATAAGAAATTCACTATTGCTCTCTTGTCATTCGGTTTCAGTTGTTCAAGGGCTGATCATTCTCTGTTCTTGTACCGGAAGAATGGGGTATTCGTTTTTGCTCTTATCTACGTTGATGATATTGCTCTAGGGGGAGATAGCTGGGAAGTTATTGAAGCTGTCAAAGTTTTCCTAAAGAAGGAATTCAGTATCAAGGATTTAGGTCCTTTGAAGTATTTTTTGGGTATTGAGGTAGCAAGATCACGTCATGGGATCTCTCTATCACAATGAAAGTATACGTTAGACATTTTGAATGATGCTGGTGCACTTGGAGTTAAACCTTGTCCTTTTCCCATTGAGCAGAATCATCATCTTACTCATGTGGAAGGACCAGCAGCACATGATCCATCAGGATACAGACGTCTGGTTGGGAGACTTTTGTACCTGACAGTTACTCGACCTGACACTACGTATGCTGTGAACATATTGAGTCAGGCAGTGCATTCACCTCGACAACAGCATGTGGAAGATTCTTATCGAGTACTTCGTTACTTGAAGCGTGCGCCTGGGCGCGGTTTATTTCTTCCATCAGACAGTAGTTCAGTTTTGACAGCTTACTGCGACGCAGATTGGGGTGGCTGCCAAGGGATGCGTCGTTCTACTTCCGGGTACTACATTCAACTCGGTCAGAGTCCCATATCGTGGAGAACTAAGAAGCAGTCAGTGGTAGCTCGGTCATCGGCCGAGGCTGAATATAGATCGATGGCAGTTACAGTGAGTGAGTTAGTCTGGTTACGTTGGTTATTGCATGAGTTAGGTGTGCGCCTCAGTGAGCCTACTACTTTGTATTGTGACAATCAAGCGGCGTTACATATTGCAGCAAATCCAGTTTTACATGAGCGTACGAAGCATGTGGAAATGGATTGTTATTTCGTAAGAGAACGTGTGGTATCTAAGGAAGTTGAGCCTAAGAAGATACCCACAAATGATCAGGTCGCAGATGTGTTTACCAAAGGTTTGGGTAGTGAGCAGTTCAATTACCTGGCTTCCAAGCTAGGCCTTCACGATATTCACGCCTCAGCTTGAGGAGGAGTGTTGCAGTGCATATATCAAGTTAGTTATGGGGTTAATTATCACTAGTTAAAGTTAGTGGTGGTAAAAGTGATATTAACCCATGTATGTAGCCGAACCCTAGTCTCTGTCGTGTAAAGGGTTAGGGCTTAGCATATGTATATTGCTCTTGTAGGCTACTGTAGCCGTCAAGTTAGAGTTGTGAGTTAGTTAATAAAAGTTCAGTCGAGAAGCTCTTGAAGAGCTACTCCGTGGATTAGTCCCGTTCACATCGAACGAGGATACCACGTAAATCGTTCGTGTTCTTTTACTTTTTCCGCGTTCTACATATTTTACAGATAATACTTCGACGGAAAATGTGACTACTACAGGGGGGCCATGTTTGCGTCCGGGACGCGGGTGCATTTGCATAGCATTCAGCCGTCGATCCAGTGAGACGGAAACCAGCCTCGTCGCGGGATCGTTTTCCGGCTGGCGTTCCAAACGTGGAGATTTGCGGCCTAGGTACCGACGATGTCTATTATTGCTTTTGGCCATAGGGTAATGCTGTCTTGCATCTTCCTTGTATTTATCGTAGTTCCATTAAAATAAAATCGTAATTTTCATTTCAAAAATTAAATTTTGTTCGGTGGAGGAAAATTAATCAACATATAGCTATTTATACACAAATTAAATATCCCCCCTCGCAGTTGTTCATGGGAGTAATTGCTATCCTATGGAGGATTTGGCGGTCCCGGAATTGGGTGGTTTTTGAAGGAAAGCAGTTTAGTATCCTTGCTCTGATGAGGCAGTATCACCAGCAGGTAGGGGAATGGTTGAGCTTACCTAACGATCCCCGGCTTCCCTCGCTGTCTCCTCCTAGTACTAGTGCAACGGGGTTAGGTGCAGCAGGAGGGCCTGTGTGTCGGTGGGATGGAGCAGTCCGGTTAGGGTCGCACTCTGCAGGAGGTTTTGTGCTTCTTAATGAGGCAGGGGCGATCATTTGGGCGGCTGGCGTTCAGTTCCCTCTGCTGGAGGACCCAATGGTGGCGGAAATACTTACCCTCCGCGAAGCAATCCGATGGTGTATAGGCGGGGTTTTGTGTCTATGCGATTTGAAGGGGACGCCAAAGTGATAATTGAGAAGCTGGACCAGGGTGATGTGCGGGATAGTCGGGTTGGGGCTATCTTAGAAGAGCTTCTTCAGCTGTTTACATTTTATCCGGGCTTCACTGTACGATTTGTAGGTCGGGGTAGCAATAGGGTAGCTCATGTTGTAGCTAGACAGGCCCTGTCTTTGTCCCCAACTACATGTCGTTATTTTGACTTTCAGGCCTGGCTGCATTCCAGGATGTAACTATCGATTTGTTTCTATCAATACAAGATATCTTTTGTCAAAAAAAAAAAAATACACAAATTAAATATCCCAACACAAGGTGAGTCCGAGGACCCACTTCATTGTACTCTTTTCGGCCTCGCTTGTAATTAATTTTCGTGGTGCCGATATATGCGACATTGTAAGAATTTATATAATTTCATAATATAGTATCTAATTTGAAAAAATTGTGATATCGAGTGTCATACTGATGATGCGAGTTTAACCTCGATCAACATATTATCTTGCGTCACTTTCCTAAACATCTTGGTGTGGCTGCAGAGATTGTTTCAAGAACTCGGAGTAGACTGTCAGATGCCTATGAGGATCTTTGGAGACAATACGAGTTCCATTCAGATTGCAGTAAATCCTGTACTACACGACAGGACAAAACACATAGAAGTACATGTTCATTATATCAGACAGCTTGTTGCAGAAGGAGTTGTTCAGCTGAGTTACTTAGCTACAGAAGATCAGACTGCAGATGTCTTGACTAAAGCAGTTAGCTCGAGTAGACATTGGTATCTATCATCCAAATTGATGTTGCGCACCCAACATCAATTTGAGGGAGGGTGTTAGTTTATGATAGTCTGGGTACCAATGTGTAATTGTCCTGTAAATTGTGTAGCTAGGGTTTAGAGGCAAACCTATATATTGTACCGTGTATCCCTGTTGAGAGGTAACAAATAAGAAAACTATAACCTGAGAGGGAGATCCTCTCCGTGGACTAGTGTCATACTGACGATACCACGTTAAAAAACTTTGGTGTTCTTCCTTCTGCTTAGATCATTTGACACTACGAAAGTCCGGCAATCACTGGTGAAGATTGTTGGGTATTAGCGAAATTGTGCTAGAAATTAGGATCAACACAAAGGAAACATTTGGTGTTTAATCACTCAATTTAGGAAACACACAACCAAATAATGCCTCATACTTTTTGGCTATTGTTTTACATACACTCACACGGCAGAAGCTTTGCTTCCTTCCTTTTTTGTTTTGTTTTCAAACTCTCTGACAGTTCAATGCCCATACAGATTACATATATATGCATAAGAATAAGAGTAGAATAATTATAAGATGACCCATATAGTAAATGCATTTGGAAGCTAGCTCTTCTCTTCCAATCCTCTAACAAACGCCACTACACATGCATGTATGGAGATAAGATTGGGCAATCATGTTCCACCATTACTAGTGCATTATTTACTTGTCTTTCCTTTTCAAGTTGCTGTCCATAATTTAGTTTGGTGTGCCTTCTCATCACGTCAAATCTGAAGTGTTGCGGTTACTTAAACCGTGTTAGTATTGGGCCTTGTTGGGCCTCGTCTGATTCGTTGGATTAAGGTTTTAACCCTAAGTTTATCTATATAAGCTTAGCTATCTACTTGTGTGATAGCAAGCCGTCAAGATGTAATCCTAATAAGATATCAGTCGTGAGCTCTTATGAGCTCACCGTGGATTAGTCTCGATCAATCAATCGATCGAGGATACCACGTAAAACCCTTGTCTCGTGTTCTTGTTATTTCATCTTCCGCCTCATCAAATTTTACATGGTATCAAAGCGAAACTTGATCCCTTATCTAGGGTTTTGAGCTTCCGCAGACAGCATCCGTTGCCTCTCCGGCAACATCGATGTCATCTCTCGTCTTTGCAATCGTCCGACGGTAAGCAAGAACAAAAGCAGGAAAATTCGATTGCTTCCCGTCTCCGTCAAGGCCCACAATCGAGGGTAGTTTTCGAGCATCTCCAAGGTAGCATCGCATCAGCGATGCTCGTGTCTCACATCCGCCGCCGAAACCGCCAAAATTTGGCAAAGCAGGCGTCCCCGTCAATTCTTCCGCAGTCACAGGCGAAGTCCATCCCGCCGTCAAGAGAATGAGATCTCTTGCATCCGTCGCCCCGCCAGTCCACCATCGTCAAGTGGTAGGTCGAGGAATCTCGTTGGTGTTGCAGTCGAGTCACTCTCGTAAAGTTATGTGCAAAGAGACGGTCAGTTGCAACAGAGCTGTGGTCGTCGCAGCATTTTCGCTTCCAGTTCTGATTTGCTTTCCATCGCCAAGTAGCCATTCATGGCAAATCATCGTCTGTTGTTGTGAGGAGAGCCGAGGTTCATTCCGGCCTCAAACCTCCGTCCAGTCATCTTTCCGGCCGCCATCGTAGCCTGGAGCATGCTGCTACATAAATCAGTCACGGCCATGAGTTCTAAGTCGCCAAACAGTCAAGGAGTCAACAGTCAAACATCGCCGACAACTCCTGAATCGCCGGCCTGTCAAGGCTGATGTCGCGGCCGTTCGCAATCTCTCTCTCTCCGGCACGTCGTCTTCAGCAAAGAACAATTGGGCATGTTCTTGTTTTGGTCAATCTAGCCCATCCCATCCAGAATAATGCCAACTCAAGTTCTCTTCGACTTCCATCATCAACAACCAGATTTTGTTGAAGGCGGCAGGTGGTTGTTCACTTCAGGTGGTATTATTGGTCTCAAGCTCAAGGAAGAAGAAATCTTGTTCCTTCCGTCACGTCAGTGAGTTCGTTGGGGAGTTTGGGACCAGCTTGGGTTTCACTCCAAAGAGAATTATTCTTCCACATTTATATGATGGAAGAGCAATTTTCCGTAAGCATGGTGGTCTATCGTTGGGCAGTGGAAGGTGAGTTTTAGCACCAAAATCAAGCACTCCCAGCTGCCACTTGTGCACTTCGATTGGTTTCAACCATCCGGGTAACGAGGCATTCACGATCCATTAAATGATCGTCCCCTGGCGTTCAAAAGGTAGTACGATCAGAGAAGTCATCGTCCCTTCATCGTCCAGTTGGCATTCACGATCTAAGAAATGGTCGTCCCCTCTTTCGGTTCAGTATTTGGAACATATCAACCATTCATCACTTTTCAATCTGGGCATTCACGATGTTCATGCTCCAGCTTGAGGGGGAGAATAGGAGGTCAACATACGTCGGTCGACTAACTCAGTCATCAGGTCAACCGCGATGTACCAGATGTATTCAAGTTCAAGAGACGCAGTCAATCGTCTCCATCATCAGGTTGTTCAGAGAGAGTCAGTCGTCTCCAATCAACCTCGTCCGAGATGTTATTCATCTCGAGTTTTGTGGTTCAAGCCATCATGCTTGTTCTTCACATTTCTCTTCTTCAAGCTCGACATTCTTGTCATTCATGTCTTCGCTTGAGGGGGAGTGTTGCGGTTACTTAAACCGTGTTAGTATTGGGCCTTGTTGGGCCTCGTCTGATTCGTTGGATTAGGGTTTTAACCCTAAGTTTATCTATATAAGCTTAGCTATCTACTTGTGTGATAGCAAGCCGTCAAGATGTAATCCTAATAAGATATCAGTCGTGAGCTCTTATGAGCTCACCGTGGATTAGTCTCGATCAATCAATCGATCGAGGATACCACGTAAAAACCCTTGTCTCGTGTTCTTGTTATTTCATCTTCCGCATCATCAAATTCTACATGAAGCTCCAATTTGATAATGGATCATTTAATTGTTCAGGCCTACCATGTGCAAATGCTTAGAGATGATCATATTGCAAATTATCAATTAACAAAGATCTCGAGCACCGAGGAAGCCAGCATCATAATTGGTGTTTGAGGCAACTCTGGAAGCACGCCGAGAGGATTTGTGGGGTGTAAGAATTTGAGACAAATAGAAGGGTAAATTGGAGATTTTAGATCAGAGCTCTTGCTGATTTGCCAATTTGGATGGTCAGTTAACGAAAAAACTAATCGAAGGGCTAGTTTGTTATGTGATCATACTATAGGGGTTTCATTCATGAAAAAAATAATAGAGGGGCTTATTTGTTATCTTTTTATAGTACAGGGGCTTGGATCATTATTATTCCTAACGAAAACAATAACTGCAATGGTGACTGTTAGAGGTGGGCACGTGGGTGGTTAATCCGCGAATTGATATCGATCCACCCACAAATAATCCGACCCGCACGGAGTGGGTGATTGATGTGGGTGGATTGCGGATTGCTAAATCTCTCACCCGCACTTATGTGGGTGGGTGGTGGGTGGATTTCGGGTCACTCATATGACCCGCATCCTATTTTTACATGAAAAAATGTCGTTTCTTATAATATCGAATTTTCATCATATTTTCGAACTGCACTACAGTCTGACCATATACTTCAAAAGGTGGAGAATAAATAATAGTTTTGACTACTATTATTGGTCATTGTGTTGTGCAATATCCATTACATATTGGATATTAGTATGCAGATAATTGTTAATAACCATTAAATATTGGGATGAAAACTATACATTATTAATTGTATCAAAATCACAAATTATTGATACAGTCTTACTGATTTGCTATGAACTTATTATAAATGTTAGTTAACTTTCTTAATTGCTAGTTGGAGAATTGCTTTTGCGGGTCGACCCACAACCCAACCGCACCCATCCGCCACCCGCCCAACCCATCCCGCAGAAGTATGTGGGTGGATTGCGGGTCACCATTATTCCAACCCACTAGTAAACGAGTGGGTCAATTTGAGACCAAAAACCACCCAACCCACCCGTTGCCCACCCCTAGTCACTGTACTACTAGTCTACTCCAACTCCGACTCCGACTCCCAACGGCCAACCACTCTAAGCTGTGGATGATTTCTATTAACATATAATTTTTTTATTCTATAATATTGGAGCTTCGATAATGTTCAACCACAATTATAATCTCCAATCTCCTAACCTTTTCCCCACAACCCTTCGATACCGTCTTTTCCAAGGGCCCCACGCAACTCCATCTACAAGGAACAACAAGAAGTTTTTATTTGTCACTTTATGGACAATTCAGTTAATAGTGGTTGAAATTTTCCTAAAAATTATACAAGAAGATCGATAAGCCTACGACACTCCCTAAACATGATCCCTCACTCCCAGAGAATCCACCACCTTGGCTAAGTTGACGAATGACTACTTCGGCACCACCTTTCATGATGCAACGTGACAAGCTTCTTGAGACCGCAACCGAAATAGCATTTCTAGCGCCGCATGTAATTCCGCGAGGTAAGGAACAGACCGCCTGATGCTTGAATTGTAACAGCTAGAAAAACATGTCCGTCCGAGACATGAACAACAAGGGCCCGACAAGCAAACCTCTCAACAAATAGTCTCACTTGAGGGGAGATCGAGTTGCATCGCGCCTCTCGACTTGTCCAAATTCAAAAGAAATTAATGTTCAATACTCTCTTAGTGCCTCCATCCAATATGATATCGGATAAGATGCCGTCAACGTATGCGCGCGGATTTCATACTTCCTTGGTTCTGTGGTGCCGACGGGATCTATTGGTTTTGACAAGTGTCATGCTCTCGATCTCCTATATCTATCTTATTTTATTTGAATTATACGCCATTTTTTTTATATTTCCTTTCTTTTAAAGCTAACAAGATATATTTTATAATAAAGGAAGCTAATTACCACATCCAAAATAAATCCTTCCATTATCTCCCATTTCTATAAATAGAGGGGAAATCATGGTGGTAGAGGTATCATAAAAGCCAATATCTAAAAGTCACTTCCAAATTTCTAGAACTATCATTCCCTTCCCTTCCCTTCCCTTCCCATCTCATCATGGCAGAAGAGCGTTCGGTGGCGTTGCCAAGATACATGAGGCTGAGGAGCAGTTCGGCCGGGAAATACCTGCGTTTCACCGATGACGACATACAGCAACACGGTCACCTCCAGTTCACTGGTGAAACCGCCGTCCACAGCCCTTACGTCAAGTTCGAAGTGGAACCCTCGAGGAGCGTGCGAGGCTTGGTCCATCTCCGGTCCTGCTACAACAACAAGTACTGGGTGCGAACCTCACCGACCCAGGTGTGGATCGCCGCTCACTCCGACGTCCCGGAAGAGGACCAATCCAAGTGGTCGTGCACGCTCTTCAGCCCCACCTATCTGAGTTCCATGGTGACCGGCGGCAACGGTCTCCCTGACCACTTCTTCCGCTTCCGCCACGTGCAGCTCGACCACAACGTCGGCGTCTCGCCTTGGGGCCAGTGGCCCTTCACCGACTTCCTCTTCGTCCGATCACAATCGTCCAACGCGGTCGTCGTCGTCGACGACCGATTCGCCGTCACGGACTGGGAGTCCCTCCACGTGCTACCAGCAACAGAAATGCCGCGGCCGGGAACGAGGTGTTCGAGAACCCGGACGGGAGCGTCCGCATCCGGTCGAACCACTACGGCCGGTTCTGGAGGAGAGGCCCCCAGTTCTGGATCCTGGGGGACTCCACCGACACCACGGGAAGCAACATAGACACCGTGTTCTGGCCCGTGAGAGTGAACCGCAACGTGGTCGCGTTGCGCCTCCCGGGGAACAACCGGTACTGCAAGCGCCTCACGAGCGACGGCAAGACGAGCTGTCTCAACGCGGCGGAAGTCACAATATCGGTGTTCGAGAGGCTGGAGGTTGGGGAGTGGGTGAGGAAAAGGAGCATATCGAACGTACAGTTCCGCCTCCTGGACGCCCGCATCTACAACCAGGTCCCCCGAACCCTGGCCCGAACCATCGTTACCAATAACTCCTCCCAAACCAACACGCCCGTTATTAGGTTCCGGTACCGGAACACGATAAGCCGGCACTGGCAGAGCACCGTGTCCTTTAGCTACGGGATCTCCTCCACGGTGTCAGCCGGCATCCCGCTCTTCACGGACGCGTCACTCACGGTTCAATGGGAGCTCTCGTCGGAATACACGTGGGGCCAAACCGTCGAGACCTCCGAAGAGCAGGAACAGGAGTACCCGGTCACGGTGGGTCCCTATACCAGGGCGACCATCACTTTTCAGGCAACGGAAGGGTTTTGCGACGTCCCTTTCTCCTACACTCAGACGGACGAACTCTTCGATGACAGGATCGTTACTACCCGAATGCACGACGGACTCTACACCGGCGCTAATCTCTACGAATTCCATTGGGAAAACAACGAGGAGAGTCTACTACCCGCCGACGAGATCAAGCTCGCCCAGGAACACGTGGGGGTGGGGAAGAAGAAGAAGGAGGTCGAGCTCAAGGTGGAGCTGGGGGAGGCCGAGATCGTCGCCGATCGAGAGGAGGTGGAAGACAAAGAAGAATGACCGGATTCAACTTGGTGGCCGGCCGGCGGGGGAAGGAGGGAGGGAGCTTAATAAATTGATTGATCACTCACTTTCTCAATCAGTAGTAACACCCTAAATAATGGCACCTCATCCCATCCTTCGTGGTCCCCCCTCACTTTATCCTACGTCCATTTGTTTTTGTTTTGTTTTGTTTTGTTTTTTCACAGTTTTAAGGTGTGGTTTGCTTTCCCGTAATGGTTAATTTTATGTATTGTGGTTAATATATTTGTCAAATTATGTATGTGTGAATGTATTGAAGATTTGTCGTTTTCGTGTATCTTTGATCGTGTTGAATGATTTAAAAAAAAACTATCATGGAGAGGACATGGAGGACAATTCATATTATCGTCCAAATTAAATAGGATTAAACAAAATTGCATTTGAGAGATAGTTCGATTATTTTGCATTTGAGAATATGATTAATGTTCTAGAGACAAATTAATCTCCAATCCCAACTCAACTCAAAGTGATTCCATGGTCTCAATTCATTCCACTCTCCCTTCGCCCCTTTTGTAATTTTTGTGGGAACGAATAATGTGCTAACTTTATAAGACGTTACCATCATGCTAACTAGTCTAAAGAAAAAGAATAACCACTACGACTACAAAAAAAACAATAACTAATTCTACAAAAAGAGCAATGATTACTTTGTGAATGTAGCACTATAACTCCAGACTTCAAACGACTAGAAGCCGTGGTTGGAAGGCTAGTTTGGAATTTGGTGGTAAGTATGCTATGGAGAGAACGGTGTGGCGGAGTTTATGACGACAAAGCAACTCAACCTGGGGTGATCATCCGTATGATCATCAGGCGACTGATTGAGTCAGCTCGTATAGCTTATATGTTGATTGTTGGAAAGTGTTTTTGAGTTAGAATGTTTCTTTTGTATTCTGGTAGTCTTGTATATAGAGTTCTTTCATGTCTCTGCCTTCTGCAGTTGTGTCATTCCAAGTGTGTCATTCTAGTTGGAGGACACATTGAGCATTAATAAAATTCTTTGATATTGCGTGTATTTATATGGTGGCGTCTTCGGTGCACTCACTTTTTTTAGTGCATTCAGTGCACCCGCTTCATAACCATCATTCTAAACATGCGATTCATGTCAAAATGATGTCAATCATCACTTATGACATGATGAAAAATAACACACATGAATTTGCACAAAAATCATTCAACATTTACTTTAAGTTGAAAGATTTACAGTTTAGAGATTTAGGATTAGGGTTAGGGTTTACAATTTGGGCTATAGGGATAGAACTCATCTTATTACACTAATTCTACAAATTAAAATTCAAAATCCGACACCTTAAAACTAATTTTTCAGTTGAGTGTATTGAACGCACTCACTTTTGTGCGCACCGAAATAGCCACCTATATATATGTGTTCGACTTTCCCCCACAATTATCATCTCCAATCTCCTAACCTTTTCCCCACAACCCTTCGACATCTTCTTTTCCAAGGGGGATAAGATAACCCTTTGATGGACACAGCGACTACTGCAAAAGGACCATGCATGTAACGTGTGGTGGGATTCACTCGTCGACTCAAATAATGAAACGAAAACTGCCCTTAATTTGCTTTGCTGCAGGACCATTTTCATGAACACAGCTAAAGCTGCAAAGGGACCATGTAACGTGGGGGGCATTCCCTCGTCGAGTCAAATGAATAGGATACCGTCCTTTTTGTGGGACCATTTTGGGGCATTTCAAACGAAAACAATTAGATTGATTTGTGGTGTCCTTCTCATTTCTCAGACGTGGAGACGTCCCCAACTCAATTAGCTGCATGGGCCAGGTACGTGAGTAGCAGTGGGAGGAGTCTCACTCAGAACCAATACTCTCCTACAGACTGGAGCGTGAAGATTTCGAACGTTCAATTTGGACATCAAGAAGAGAAATCGGTCGGTGCCAAGGGCTTAGCTAGTAATGGGGACGAACTACATTAAAGTCGTCCCCAAAAGAATAGAGGACAAGAGTATAGTCGTCCCCAAAAACTATAGGGACGATTTTTCCTATTTTCGGGGACGACAAACCTCTTTTTTTGTATAGTGTATGTTTGATCGTGTTTTGAATGATTAAAAATAACCACCATGAAGATGGCGCTCCATAAAAGACAATTCATACTATCGTCTAAATTAAAGAGGCTTAAACAAAAGTGCAATCGAGAGATATATAGTTGAGATTTATTTTTTCTTCTTTTCTTAGTACAATTTTGAGATTTGGCTCAATATGAATAAATTTGGTTGATCTTATTGTTTGGGAGGCGCTTCATTATCTAAGTAATGAACGAGCCATATGCCACAAGATTTGACAGTTATTTCTAAAATAACAACCAATTATGAAAAATTTCTCTAGTGATTTAGCACCCAAGGTAATATGGTGTTAACATTCATTACGTAAAAGGCTAACGAGAAAAAAGAAAGTTACAAACAACACAAGAAAAACACTAGCAAAAGAGTTAAATGTAAAGTGGTCTGTGATGACTATAAGTTTAACCGTGGTTCAACCACTAAAAATTGTTGGCCGAGTTGATCTTCAATATGCGAATTTTCTGGTCGGATCGTCGGTACAGTACATTTTTATAAACACTTGGAAAAAAACGATAACTTTTTGTTAGACTTTTTCTTGCAGTTCGTAATTGTTGTTTCGCAATCTTGAGACAACTAGTTTGTAGAATGCAGATCCGAATCGCAGTGACCGCGCCATATTTGTAGTCTTTTTAGTTGGAGTTTTATTAGTACGTACATTCAGACATTATCTTTTGCAATTCTAGTCGTTGTTCTTTCTCTCTGAAGTACTATTTTATAATTTCTACCACTCTAGCTAGCAACCTAACATGCGCTTTGGCCAAAACCAATCATAGGCAAAATGGGTAGCTAGGCCGCAAAATCGCCACGTTTGGAACGCCGCAAAATGGTCACCCTGCAGTCTCATTGACATTGAGTCTGCAGACGGGTGATCAACGCCCATAAATAAGTGACGCATAAAGACTCGTTGTTGTCCACTTTAGAGTCAACTTTCTTTGATTTTTGCAGTGTGGCTCCACTAAATTAAAGAGATAAGAGTTCTTGGATAGAGATTTTTCTCTAACATTTCTCTCTTGTCATTACTTGGAGACGCCGCAAAATGGTCCTGCAGAAAGGATGCATGGTTTCCCTTTCATTTGGCTTGACGAGTGGATGCATGGTCTTGCACAGCTGCAGCTGTGTTCATGAAGATGGCCTCTTTTGCACTCTGTTGTGTCTATCAAAGGGTTATCCCGCTTGGAAAGTCCAATGCATATTAGAGACACGGTTGGGATAATGGAATACATAATAGAATAAATATGAATTTTCCATTTATAAAAGCTCCAATATTATAGAATAAATAATTTAATTTTATGTTAATACAAGTCATCCACAGCTTGTAGTCGTTGGGAGTTGGAGTTGTAATATTAGTACAATCATTGTTTTTTATTTATGTAGTTGTAGTCGTTCTTTTTTCTCTGGACTGTACGTATTAGCATTTTATCAACGTTAGGAGTTTGAGGCGGCCGGGTAGGGAATGGCTGGGGTTGGAGCTTTTGTCTCTACAACAAGTCAACAACCATATTCTCATTAGCGGTTGTTGCAGTGGCGTAGTCAAGATTTCGTTTAAAGTGAGTCCATTTAAGAAGAAATATACACATGCGATAATAGATTTTGTTAACTTTACTAATTATTCATGATATAATCTTATGTTGGAAATTTTTGGTAAATTAAAATGCATTAGTAGTCAAGACTATAAAAAATATCACTCTATGTACCAAACAATTATTAATGATCTAGTTAGTGTAGGGGTGGGCGTTCGGTCGGTTCGGTTTGAACCGAACCGAACGGGTATATGTCGAATTTCCGAAGTCGCCCATGCTCCAACTGATTTTGAACCGAACTATAATTCGGTTCGGTTTTCCAGCCAGAACCGAATTCTTCCATGCTTACCTGCTGAGACAGTTTTTCCTTTTGGTGCTTCTGCCTTCTGCTGCCTTTTGGATTTGCACCATAGGGCTGCTTGAAATTTTGCAATAGGACTGCTGTATTTTGGCTTCTTATTTTGTTTACCACCTAACATTTCAATTTTATAAATCAAATACAATTAATTAAAACAAGCATTCAAAGTTGAAAGATAATCAATGTCCACTTTTCAAATATTCAACACAAACACAACTCATCAAGCCCTTCCAAATATTCATTACAATACAAATGGTTTTAAGTTCAAACTAACATGAGAAAGGTAACCAATGTCTAAATTCCAAGCATAACTTGTAGAAATTCCAAAGGTCTTGCTTCTTAGCTCTTCACTCTTGGACAATTGAGACCTTTTAATTCAAAAATAGTACAATAAACATGAAACAAAACAATGATGGTTAGTGATTAATATGTATATAGCTAATTATAAATAACCAAGTAGAATAAAATCTCAACTTCTTACCTCTAAAGTCATCAATCATGCATAGAAACATCGGAATTCTCACCACAAGCACTACTAGATGCACATGCACTACCATCGTTCCTCCTTCCACTTGAACTTGGTACATTGGAAGTCGAGGTAGATGAAAAAAGATTATCTCTTATGGAGATTGCATTCATCAACTTGTCCAATTCTGCAAGATTAAAAAGGCTCAAAATTAGTCATGACATACAAATTAATCATGTTATAAATATGTAATGCTAGATTTGAGACTTTTGAAATCATCTTGAATCCTCCCACCAGCGCTAAAGGCAGATTCAGATGCAACGGTAGAGATTGGGACCGCTAAAACATCCTTAGCCATCATGGAAAGGGCTGGAAACCTCAAGCTGTTAACCTTCCACCAACCAAGTACATCAAACTTAAGCACCATTGGTTCGTCTTCCTCACGAAGGTATTTCTCAAACTCGGATTTGTTTACCGCCTGTACATTTTGCTCTCTATGCGTTTTGTATTCAGCAAGTACATCAAGCTCATCCCCATCACCCTCCTCCACAATTGGGGCCAAAGAAGTAGAGGCATTCTTGGATTGTGTCAACTTCCAAAGTTGTTCATAGTGAGAAAATAGATCAAATGTAGCCTTCCTCACATCCTCCGCCATACGTGCTCCCTTGCCACCCTCAGGATACACCGTTTTCAAAGCAAAATCAACAAAACCCATCTTATACCTCGGATCCATTACAGTGGAGATGTAAAGTAGTTTGTTCATTTTATCCACATATCCCCAAGACTTCTCGTACTTCATCTTCATCTTGCTCGCCATGATACTCAAGTCGAGATCTTTCTCAACTTCCGTCTCCCACTTGGTTATCAAATGATATAGGGAATGCACTTCTTGTAAGAAATAGTTAGAAGTGGTATACTTTCAGCCCGAGATCTTCAAAGTGAAGTCGTAGAACCGACCAAGAAATCCCATCATTCTCCTTGCATTCTCCCAATCAGCCTTCTCCGGGAAACCAATTATGCCATGTCTATCCTTCTTGCTTTCCAAATCCTTTCGGAAATGGTCATCATACATTTCAAACATCATGAAGACCTTTTCAAACCTCTTAGCAGCCTGCAACATCAAGAATGTCGAGTTCCATCTAGTAGGAACATCAAGACACAATCCACGTTTGCCTTCTACCTTTTGAACAGTAGCAAACTCATGAAAAATTTTCAACCTTTCTGGTGAATTTCTAATGAATCTCACTGCTTCTCTAATTCTCTTCAACGACAAGCAAATATCTCCAAGTCCATCAGACACAACCAGATTTAAAATATGAGATACACACTTCATGTGAAGGAATTCACTATCACATATACTAGTCCCCCTAGCATTAAAAACTTCCTTCAATTTGGCCACAACTATATCATTAGAGCTAGCATTATCCACGGTAATTGTGAAAACCTTCTCAATCCCCCAATCATCCAAACAAGCAACAATGTCATCAGCAATATCTACCCCTTTATGACCTTTAAGTTTCCCAAAATTGATGATCTTCTTTCTCAAATCCAATCTTGATCAATGAAGTGGGCAGTTAGGCACATAAAGCTATCTTGCTTATTCGAAGTCCATGCATTAGTAGTCAAACAAATTCTTCCTTCACAGCTTTGAAAATAATTTTTCAACTTGCCTTTTATTTCACTATAGAAGGCAAAGCAATCCCTAGTGATTGTTCTCCTAGAAGGAATGTTGAACATATGGCAGCATAGTGACATGAAGTACTTAAAACCCATCACATTAACAAACTTGAATGGTTTTTCATCAACAATGAGCATGTAAGCTAACCCTTTCTAGTAGCTTCTTGATCAAGCTTTCAGTTTGTTAAAGTACCTTCACCTTCTACCCCAGTTTTCCCTAAGTTCAAGAGTTGTTGAGTAGTTTCTTTTTTTTATCACCACAACCCTTTCGCATATGAACATTCATAGCATTGGTACCATTAAGAAATGGATCAGCTTCATACTCCTTCCCACACTTCATACACCTTGACATCTTGTATCCGTCCGGAGCATTGAACTTTGTGAATTTAGTCCAACACATCACACTTGACTTCATCTCTTTTCTTTTTGGTTTTAAAGTTTTTTTGGTAGTACCCCCGTTGGGAACAACAGCTTCATTCACAAGAGGATCACCACCGGCCGATGAATCTTCTTCGTACACCATCAATAAACACAAAAGGCATTAGCATTAGCCATTAAGCAACATACAAAATTACCAAGGACACAAGAGACACCAGCATTAGCCATTAGCAATGTAGCAGCATTCTCCTAAATTAAACCAACAAAGCAATTAAACAGATTCTAGACTGTACATGGGCACTGGGCCGTGCTTGGGCCGGCACGGCACGGGCACGCTTCGGGTCCATTTATTTCGTGCTGTGCTTGGCACGATCCGTCAGTTTTCGTGTCATGCCGTCAAAGCCCATTTGTTAACTTTGTTAGGCCCGGCCCAGGCCTGAGCACGGTTTGAATCGTGCCGTGCCTATTCGTGCTCGTTTCCTGCTCGTATTCGTGTCTAATAAAAAGGGAAAAAATAAAAGAGAGAATGAAAAAAAGGTGGAAATTGGACGGGGAAAGATATTATAAACCGAGAATGTTTGAGAAAAGTAACAAATAAGGGGGAACAGAAAATTGGAAGTAGAGCGGGTGTGATTTGGCTTTGTTTAATTCTTCGCCCATTTTTACTTATGGTAGTAATTACGTATATATATTCATGACACTTATAACAACAACAAATAAATATTTTTTTACTTGTATTTTATAATATTTGAACCTATAATTCTTTCTATATTTATTTTCTATCAAATAAAAGTTATTTTTGTCTCATGCCTGTTCTTATACTCAATAAAATCTCAAAAGTATTAGGCCCAACATGACCCACTTATATACCGTGTTGTGCCCATGAAGTTTAGGCCCGGCACGACCCATAAATTATTCGTGCTCGTGCTGGCCTGACCCATTTATTTCGTGCCCGTGCTCGTGCCGTGCTACCCCGTAGGCGGCACGGCCCGGTGCCCACGTACATTCTAGACAGAGTGAGTGGTGCTGTCGGCGGGAGCTGTGTGGCTGCACTACGGGAAAAGTGGCTTTACGCAACACTCGTCCTGCAACACTTCTAAAAAGTGTTGCATAAAATAAATATAGGCAACAGTTTCATTTTGTGTCGCTTAATATATATCTTATGCAACACTTTCATTTGTGTCCCTTAATATATATTTTATGCAACACAAATCAGGAGCATGATAATTTTTGTTGCATATTGTTAATAATATGCAACACTTGTACAATAAAATAACTTGTGTTACATATTCTAATATTTAGACTAACACTTTGTAAAAAATGTAACATATTGTACCAATTTGATATTTGTTATTAATTAAAATTATTATATTAATCAAGAATATTATTATGTATTAATTAAGTATATGAACTATAATTATAATAATTAATAATATGATTGTATATTAAATAAGTATATGAATTATTATATTTATATTAACTAAGTATGTGAATTTCAAATTAACTTGAACTCTCACTACAATTGAAGAACAAAACATAAAAGAACCTCCACTACAAATGACCAAACCTCGTTATACCTTTATTATTATTAATAAATACTATTGAATTTTTTTCACTTCCCATCGGATCATCCATATCTCGAAGATAATTATGGTAAAATATACTTAATATTGATTTTTATATTCTTCCTAACAAAACAAAAAAGAGCCTATCAATCCGAACTTCCAGCCTTAGCATAAAGTATTTCGCCAAAATAATTATTTGAATGGTTATTTGCCATTTGGCCAATTATATTATCTAATTCTCTCCCTGAATATTTTCTATTCATCCTAGCTAGGAAAAACATTAAAGTGGCATACTTCCACACTTCCACACTTTATATAATGTTTTCCTTGAATAGTTTTTTTTGGTAGAATCCTTGAATATTTTTAACACAATTAAAATTTGAGATTTTATAATTCCACCTTGAATAAGTGCTAATTTATCAGACCAACGAGTCATGGAGACTCGTATGCATCATGGTCAACCTCTTTGAGAATAGTCATGGAGACTCGTACACATTTCTACGATATTTAATTTTCTTTCGATTTGATAATCATATGGATAAAATGTGACATAGCATATATTTAGTAAATTAACAACTCTATTAGGTTTACTAAATAATCTTAGTACAGAAGCTTTGGCATAAGAGGCGATATTTATTAATTGACAAACAATGTAACAATTGATCACTAATTAGGTAAGTCTCAATTCCAAGTACTTTATTCTAGTAAATTACCTATTATCATCGTGTACAACCATAAAGTAAAAATTATGGACTGTATTTTTCCTCGTAAAACAATTGTAGGCAATAATATTTTTTATTCGTTCATCTCTTCAATAATAAAAGCTCTTCCCTTAAGTATGATAAATCCAATAAATTTTCCGCAAAAATAGCTCTTTGAGAATCTCCCAACCCATAAAAAGATCTCAACTCTTCCTATTCTATATCAATATAAAATTCACTACTATTAATCCAATCTTTCCCATAGAATAAAAAACCTTCATCTGCCGAAGTCCTTCTTCTGCAAAACCCTGCTCCTGTTCCATCGTCATCTCCCGTTCCTAGATGCCATCCTCGTTACCGTCAATCTCAAGACTCAAGTACACTGCTCTCTCGATTGAAGTTTTTGTTAGTGTTGACATACTGTTAATTAGGTATTGTACAAATCTTCTTCCTAAAACTAATATTATTTTCAGAGTTCTATTCCACGTGCTCTTCTTCCTGGGATACACATTAACTAATTTAAGAAACTACTCCTATAGTCTTCCCCTTATAACAATGAAGCTTTGTTTTGATAGGAATCATGAGCTCCGATTATATTGCTTACTCGGCCAAAAGGGCAAGGGAAACTCAAGAACGACAAGCCAAATCAATGAATTCTGACAGTGATGAGATAAGATCCCAATCGATAGATGAAGTATATCATTCCGATGAGACTCATAATCAGTCAGAAGAATTGTGTGCAAGACTCTCCATTAATATTTTTATTACCATAGTTCTTGTCACTAAATGAGTTATACGTGACAAATTTTATGTAAACTGTATTGTGTTACGAGTCAAATCCACGCCATTGTTGTATTTTGTAATGACAATATTTGTCACAGAAATTACTTTTTGTGACAGATCAAATTTATACTATACTATTTGGTACAATGCACAATCGTCACCATTATTGTCATTCGTGACAAAAAAAAACTACAATGTGTCATTATCGTCACTTATGTATCATATATCATATCGTCACTAATATATACTACTCTTACAATGAATAGACGTCACAAATAGTGTCAGGAGTGACTAAAACATTAATCACAGAAGTGTGCTATTGTGACAGTTACCACTGTCGCAAAAACCTCCTATTGTGATAAAATGATGGCAAAAAACAGGAATTGTTTGTGACAACTAAAAATGGTTACAAGTGAAATAAATGTGGTGACGGCACGAAACTTGTCACAAGTGTAAAGTATTTGTGACACTCAGAAAATTGTCACAATTGAGTATGTCTTATGTGACGAAACACCCAGTTACAAATAAACCTTATACATGTTAGGTATACATGTCAAAAAGTGTTGCGTATATTTTTTAGAGTGTTGCCTAAAATTGTGTTGTATATGTGAAATTGTGTTGCATATAAGGTATACTTATGCGACACATTTTTTGTTGTTGCAAAAAGTGTCAAAAGTGTCACCTATTACTTTATACAACACCACCTATAGAGGACACTGCTAAAAGTGTTGCATAATACATATACAACACTTTCGGTACTTCTTGCAACACATTTCGAGTGTTGCCAAAGGCCACTTTTTCCGTAGTGCTGTCGGCGAGAGCTGGGTGGCTGGCGGGAGCAGGGAGAGTCTGTGGGTGACTAGGTCTGGGTGCCTTCGTGCGACTCATGACGGCTGCAGGGTGGGAGTGGGAGGGAGGGAATGGTCGACGAGTGGCTTGGCGAACTGGCGATGGGAGAGATGGATGGAGGCAGAGTTGCAGAGAGAGGTCGAGAGTCGAGATTGGGAGTCCGCCAGTCAAGAATCGGGAGAGGCCATCGGGACTCGGGGTCGGACTCGGCCTCGGGCCTCGGGGGATGGCGAGGACAGACGACGCCGACAGGGACGCAGCAGTCAGTAGAGCAGATGTGGGGTTTCCGGTTTTGCCTCTCTGCTCTCTACTGGCTGGCGGCTGCTGCTGGCTGCATAGGGCTCAGCATTCAACATCAGCAAGCGACAAGCCTTAGTTTTTCGGATAGGAGAAGGAGAGTGGGCTGAGCCTGAATGGCTGTTTCTTGGCAGGTTTGGGCTTTGCCGTTTGGGCTTTAGTTGGATAGTATGAGTTGTCCTTCATGTCCTCTCCATGATAGTTTTTTTTTTTTTTAATTATTCAAAACACAATCAAAGATATGAAAGCGGCAAATCTTCAATACATTCACACACATACAACATGAAAAATATATAAACTACCACAATACATCAATTTAACCATTACGAGAAAGCAAATCTCCCATAAAAACAAAAACAAATTGACGTAGGATAAAGTGGGGAACCACGAAGGCTGGGATGGGACGCCATTATTTAGTGTTACTACTACTGATCGCATGAGTGATCAATCAAACTAAGCTCCCTCCCTCCCTCCACCGCCGGCCGGCGAACAAAGATGAACCCAATCATTGTTCTCCGTCGGCCTCCCCCTTCTCCATCTTCTTCTTCTCCTCCTCCTCCTGGGCGAGCCTGATCATCTCCTCGGCAGTGAGACTCTCCTCCACATTCTCCCCTCTGAAGTTGTAGACGTTGACGCCGGTGTAGAGCCCGTCGTCCAACCTGGTAGTAACGGAAGTGCCGTCGAAGAGATCGTCCTTCCGAGTGTACGAGAAAGGAACGTCGCAGCTCCCTTGCGTCACCATCACGGTGATCGTCGCCCTGGAAAAGGGACCCACCGTGACCGGGTACGCCTGCGAGACCTCCGCGCTGCTCTCGTAGGTCTCGCCCCACGTGTATTCCTCCGTCGTCTCCACACTGATTTCGATCCCGGCCTCCGCAATCTTCGGAAATCCGCCCGACACCGACGTCGTCACCCCGAAGCTGAAGGACAGGCTGCTCTGCCAGCTCTTGCTCTGCGTGTTTGCGTAGGTGACGGTGAGCGTGGGGCTGTTGGTGTGTGGGGAGTTGTTGACGATGATGTTCCGGAACACGGTTCGAGGTGTCTCGTCGTAGACGCGGGCGTCGTTGAGGCGGAAGACGACGTTGGAGATGGTCCTCTGGCTCACCCGCTCCTCCACCTGTGTGTGTTGAAAAATCAGAATACGGTGAAAACTGTTACGTATTATTACTGAAATCATATCGAAAGTTTATATATAAAGTACATCGACTGAATTCTATATAATAACCCTAATAAAGAATATAACTCTGATCAATCACATAATAGTACGAGACGTAGTATAAAACAATACTACTCTTACTACCAATACACTAATACCACCTCGAGCATTGCGAACTCCGATATGGTCACGTCCGAGGCGTTGAGGCAGCTGATCTTGCGCTCGGCCGTGAGGCGCTTGCAGAACCGGTTGTTCCCTGCACAGCGCAGGGCGACCACGTTACGGTTCACCCTCACGGGCCAGAACACGGTGTCTCGGTTGTTGGACGTCGTGTCGGTGGAGTCGCCCCAGATCCAGTTGGGGCTGCGCCTCCAGAACCGGCGGTAGTGATTCGACCAGATCCGGATGCTCCCGTCCGGATTCGGGAACACCTCGTTCCCTGCGGTCGCCTCGCGGCTACTCGTGGCAGAGAACTCGTGGTAGTTGAACCTGTTAGAAACCGAACAGAAAGGGAGATAATTACTCTCCAAATTAAAATGTGTTCTAGTAGGATAATTATTTTATTTATTAATTATCTTTTATTATAACTTTCAAAGCTATTCACAACCTCTCGATTACGAGGGCGCGGAGATACATCCCGTTGTCGCCCTTGAACACCAGATGCCTCGGCATCACGACGATGGACCCCCAGTCCACGACCTCGCACGTGTCCCTCCAGCCGCCGGGCTGGCTGGAGGACGCGATGGCGAAGTTGTTGAAGGGCGGAAGCTGGAACAGGGTGACGTACTGGTTGAGCTGGACGTGGAGGAAGCGGATGAGCGGGTTCCGGCCCCCCTGGGGGTTGTCCACGGCGCCGTCGGAGACGGGCCTGAAGAGCGTGCACGACCACTTGGATCGGTCCTCTTCGGCACTGTCCGCCGCGGCGGCGATCCACAGCTGGGTGTCGGAGGATCGCACCAAGTACTTGTTGTTGTAGCCGCACCGGAGATGGACCAGGCCTACAGCGCTCGTGGAATGCTGGACTTCGAACTTGACGTGAGGGCTGATGACGGTTTCTCCGGTGAACTGGAGGAAACCGTGTTGTGCTGTGTCTTCGTGTGTGAAACGCAGGTATCTCTGGTTGTGATGGTTCTTCAGCATCACGTACTGTGGCAACGCCACCGAAAACTCTTGTGCCATGGTGAATTGGTGATGGTAGATTGATGAGATGGGGATGGGAAGGATGGTTTTCTAGAAATGGTAAGCGACTTTAGATATTGGACTTGTGATGACTGTATGATGCCGTGAGTTTCTATTTATAGAAATAGACATGGATGGATTTCTTTTGTATGTGGTTAGCTTTTCTTTTTTCTTTGTGGTTTCTAGTGGTGTAGTTGGCTTGTTGCTAGTGTTTGTGGTATGTATGTATTATAGTTGAGATTTGGTTCTTGTTGATGAATTAGAAGAGTGGTCGAGCGAGCTGCTAACACAAATTGGGAAGTGAGATGTGTTCACGATTTGGTATGGTAAATCGTGATCCAAACCAAAGAATTGCATACATCCTATAATACAGACCGTAGATCAAATCAGATCATTCTTAATGGTATACGATTCATACCAAACTGTGTGTTCAATTTGGTACACGATTTTTCAAATGGTCTAATATATTTTCCTTCTCATATTGGAACCCACTTCATTATGCTCTCTTCCGTGGCTAACAAAAATGTTTAGATCACCTTAGAAAAGACCTCACAATCTCACCACACTGCAAAAATAATAAACTACACCACAAACTCACGAAACAAACCACAAGTTCCATAAAGCACACCACAAGCAAGTATACAACAATTTCTCATCCCATTTAACTGTCGATGTATGGAACAATATTATCGTTACATTTTTAATATTAATTAGGAGGGTATGTTTGTGCAAAAATTTAATAGAGGAGAACATATGTTATATTTTTTAGAGGGGTACAAAATGTTGTTAACCCTAAAAGATATATTGTTAGATCATCCACATCAGACTACCATATTTAATTGCAAAGTGATGTGATAATGAAAATACATTCGCATTTTAATTGCATTGATGAAGTCTTAATTGCAATAATGTAAGTTACTATTTCTTACAATTTCATTTACAATTCCACATGTACATTGATGGTTTTCTTTTAATTTTACCTATGAATAAAATAATAAAGATATAAACTCTTTATTTTATTAAAAAATAAATTAGTTTCAAATATTCAATTGCATGGTAAATGCATTGATGTAGGAAGGATTGTAGGTTAATGAAAAAAAAAAGTTGAATTGCAAAAAATTTGAGGTGACAATAAAGAGTACAAACAATTATTGTTGCAACTTGCAATCAAAAATCAATATGGATGCTTTTAAATTTAAAGAAAAGAAAATAAATGACATAATAATTCTAAAATAAGATAACTACAGGTCACTTGTCAATACTCAATACCAATTGACCCGTTTGGATTGGAACGCCGGAAAAATGGTCCTGCGGGTGAATGCCCCTTCCCACGTTACAGTGTCCCTTTGCAGAGTAGTCTGGTCTCTGCGTCCATCAAAATGATCCTGCAGAGGTCATAGTTTCCATCTCATTCGGTCAGACTCATGCCATGAATATCATCCATCTCATTTAATCAATAACGATTTTTGGAATTAGTAGAATGATGAATTTATGAATAATTGTTTGGATGTGTAAATCGAAAAAGGTTTGATTTGCGACATAAACAGTGAATGATTTTTTTTTTATGAGGGTGATTGCATTAAAAATAAAACAAGTCAAACTGAAAGAGACTGTCAGAGAGCAGTATAGGAAAGAGTGATCAACATGATTGATCACAAACAGAAATCGAAAGGAAAAGCAAGAACAAAGAACACCCCAAAGAGGGGAAAACAAAACAAGGAAGACCAGACTTCCCCTGTACCCCCACACAAGAAGACTGCCCAAAGCAGCCGACCGAGAAAAACCGGAACAAAGAAACAAAAACAACAGGAAAAGCAAGAAGCAAACCGGCGAAAAGCACACCACAAGCCAACATCGATCCAACATATCAGCAGCATCTGAAATCAAAGATTGCTAGTCATGTCCTGCAAACGCCTGGCTCCAACCTCTTTATCAATCTTGCCATGCGCAATTGCCCAATCTAACGTGTTCAATAGAGCTTTGCGGGCAACAACCTGTACAAACCAACCTGCAACAACTCCAAGACCGGCCTCGCCGCCATGGATCAGCCGATCAACAAGCTCTCGTGCAGCCAAGCCTGACCCTGAGTTTTATCAATGTGATCATGGGACATCAGCCATTCCATCGCGTTCCTCGCTGCTTTTCTAGCCACCCCGATAGCAGTCGACTTCTTCTCTTCGAACACCCGCTGATTCCTTTCCAACCACACGAACCACCAAACCGCATGTAAGATATAGTATGTAAACCACTCCCCGACGTTTCCCGGCTTGGAATGAGGGTTGTGCTTGATTATTAGTTTCACCTCTAGGACAACACCGATCTAACCCTGTTGATAATTCTCCACACTTCCTTCACGAACTCACACTCCACCCGTAAGTGATTAATGGATTCTTCATTTTTACAACAGAGACAACATCTGTTTGCCATCGACCAACCTCTCCTCTTCAAGCTGTCAACTGTGAGTATCTTGTTATGAAAAACCATCCACATAAAAAAGCACACTTTACTAGGGATCAACTTCTTCCATATTTGTTTCAACGGAAAATCATTCACTCCTGGTAGCATTTCATGCACAAGCTTCCGATAAAACGAGCTCACCGAGAACTTACTGTTTGGATCAGGATTCCAAACTATTCTACACGGACTAAGAGCGTTATTGTTCATGGGAATATTATTAAGAAAGTTCAACAATTCTACCCTTTCCCTTTCAGCACCCATACAACGACATTATGTACTTTATGAAATATTTTATTTTATTTGATGATACACTTTTTCAGATCTAGCATTCATCGTAAAATACAATGACATTATGAACTTTATGAAAATTTTGATTTATTTTATTTGCTGATACACTTGTTCCGAAATCCCGGGTCCACCATTGTTTAGCAACTTACCATTGACTAGTATTGAAATAAAAGCATAGCTATGGTTTGAAAAAAGTACCATGGTGGTATAAACAAACCAAGACTGTAGGATGGTTGAATACATGATAGTAGAAATATATTAATTGTCATTTACGACTTTTAACATTGTATACCAC